ACATTGATTGCGACATTAGCGCTTGCCACCGACACAGCCAAAGCCAAAGCCCCCACCAGAGCCGGAGCCAGATCCACCGTTGGTGCCACCCCCACCACCACCTCCAGCACCGCCGCCGCCGGCGGAACCACCAGGTCCGGAGAGGAAACCAAATCCTCCTCCAAAACCGGAGCCAAAGCCGTTGGTGCCACCGCCTCCACCGACACCGCCACCCCCGGCGCAACCTTGGGCGAAGATTGGACTGATCATCAAGCCCAGGATAAACAGGTTCTTTAACATCTTGGTTACGATCAGAAGGACAGTAAAGATACTTCTCCTGCTCTAACCTCTGGTCGGTTTGTTCCAGCTGACGAAAACTTCCATTTTTATAGCCTTGAGCACCAGTGTGCTGCATGACCTGAGGCTTTTAACTTTGTATGTTTTATTTTAAATTTGAGTTCACTCTGAAAACAAAACATGAAAATAGAATAAGGACAAAATAAAACTTCAAGATTAATTGTTTGCATCATCGAGGTCTTAGACCGATCCTAACTCTTGTTGAGAGTAATTCCTGGTAATATATCATGTCTAAGTGCTTGTTTGCGGTGAGATGGTGATAAAAAATGACATTGATGCTTCCTAGGTGAGCGTCAATACTGGCGTTGCCAAAGCTTCTTCTACACGCCTTGACTATACAGTCAGATGGCAACTGGCTGAAAAACGTAACGTCATGTCGGTTATTTGAATCTTTTCAGTGAGTCCGCGTCACGAAGTAGCGCCGCTTCGGGACATCTGCGTTGGCTGACGTGAAAAACCGTACCTTGCAAATATAATCATTTTAAAAACAAACAAGGGCGTTTTAAGTTGTGGTTTTGTAAAGATGATAAGAACAGTTCATGTTATTACTCCCGATTTTAAAGGATTACTGAAACATGAACAAATTTAGTTGAAATATGTTCACGATTTTGATTTTTTGAAAAAAATTGATCGCAAAATAACTCTCGTAGGGGGTGGGACTATATTGCCAGCCTGAATTTTCCTCATTTTCAGATATGAGTTAAAATATCACCCAAAGTTTTCGATTTTAAAATCGATGCTGAATCGCACACAACCAGTTTGAACTAGTTTCAGTGAATATTTTTATGAACGACCTTCACCTATCCTTGATGTGTAACATGCAAAAGGCAAACGTGTGCATTTAGATATGTATTTTGAAAATTGGTCCAGTTCTGTGAGATTTTATTATTTTATTAATATTAGGAAAAGGGCTTGGATTTACGTAATCTAATATCATTTATGCAGTAGAGTATATGTTGACCTACATATGTGTTAAAGGGTTCGCGTAGGCCTACTAGTAAACAAATTAGAGTGAACACGTGGAAAGAAGTGGGAGAGGTGGATAAATGTGGATCTGCTGCGGGTTGTAGCTTAACTCCAGAACAGAAAAGGATGACGAACATTTAACAAAGGTAATATTGATTCATGATAACGTTTGTAAAACAGGCCTACTAAAGTAAAACGCAATTCATGATGCTTAGTTCAACTATCATTAAATGCCATGGGTTTATACCGGTATGATGTAATTTACCACTACAAGTACCTCAGCTAATTCTAAAAGTGCTCAGTTAGCTCTTGTCTTCATCGTTATTAATTTCATTACAGTTATTGTCAGCTTCTTTTTTCTCATTATTTCAGAATTCACATATGAGGAGCTTTTCTGCCTGTATGTGCCAATATGTTTTCTGGTATACTTTATCTGTGTATGGCAAGTTGGATGAGAGGAAACAGTTTTCTTATTTTATCTCTACCGCAAGCTTCTCAACAATGATCGAATCACAAATTAGTGATACTTTTTTGATACACATACAAATAGAAGCCTGAAAGCGATATATTAAAAGGACTTAAGATTTATGCATTTCTGATTTTTATTTAACTGAAATTGAATATTGAATTTGAAAAAATATACAAGTTGAAAATATGGAATTGTTCAAAAAGTAATATAAGTACGTGAAATCTACTGTCACGACACACTTTTACTAACGGAAATATGTTTGAGATATATATGTGCGCTGACACAAACAAAATGTCATTGTCAGAACGTGTAAAGTTCATTCATTGGTAAACTAAGAAAAATTTGTAAACAAAGTTTCCCATGGAAAACGCACTTTGTTAACCCAGGTGCAAATCTTTAAAAAGTATCCAATTTTATCAAAGATACCAATGCCGCATTCCAAATTTGTGCGGCTCAGTCCATTTTTGTAAAAGAAAGGATTAAGGGGGGCAGCTCTATAACAGGTATTGAGATTTTTGTAAAAATAATTTCAAATACGATTTGAAATCTATATATTGAGTATTTGCAGAAGTTATCAAGATTTACATAGTTTACAATAAAAACATTGTGAATAACTCACAGAAATATAATATATTCTGTTTTACCACAAAAACGGCAGTGACAGAGGTATAGCTATTATTCTGATATCTGCATGAGCTTGTATTTAAACCACGTGACCTCCATTGATGGCTATACTCTGTTAAAATCTCTTAAGAGATTTTAACAAAAAAACAAACTTTTTAGAAAAAAACCAGGGACTAACTTTGAATGTAAAAATGGACTTATTAACCATTGGTAAGTATGTGAAAATTGTTGTTTACTCCAGGAAAATTCATTTTTTGGCCGAAACGAAGAGTTATTATCCCTTTAAGTGATCCTTTCCCATTAAAAGTCCAATTTATGCCAAGTGTCTGCTACAAATTGAACTCCCCGGCACCAAGTGGAAATATGTCAAAGACGCGTGCAGTGCTAAATTCTGAAGTCGTTTTTATGGAACGCCATTCACGCAGAAAATGCAGACGTCAATTCAACAATCTATTGGCACTATTTAACAGCCAAAACCTATTTTAATTATCTAAACTTAATTCTACTAAATTATTTTTGGTCATTTTAATCATTCGTCAAAATCTAACAATCAATAAACGATTCGAAAGTAAGTTACCGCAATTCAACAATCAGTTGCGGATTTAACACCAGATGGCGCGCGCGCACCCTCAACGATCTGAAACGTCCTTGACCTTTTCCATGTTCACATATACCCTACATATGTTTAGCTATCAAACATGTCCTACTGCTAAACACACCCAGGCTAAAAGGGTGTACCATGCTTAGGTGCAAAACATGCTTATTAGGAGCTAAATGCGTTGAAAAAGATCAGACAAAGCAGGCACTTGGATGTTTTTACAGTGTACGTTATTATTGTGTATCTGTGTTTTGTACCAAAAATAAAAACATTTCAGGTCATTTTATTGTCTTTTCATGCAGGAATGTTGTCTAACAACTGGTGTTGATACAATGTTGTTATCTGACGTTGATTCAACTTTCAAATCCAATGTTTATCCAACCTATTATCAACGTTATGGTTCAACGTTGTTTCAACGTTAAAACAACATAATTTGCCCGCTGAGTACAGAGGTAATAAAGTACAATTCTTTAATTTCCGCGCAGGTTACACATTTTCGACCGCGACGTCATCTTAGCGCATGCGCTCCGTTCTGAATATCTTCCTATGCGCTGTCAGTTGCCATATGACTGTATAAAATGATGAAACATTGTACCTAACCGTGTGCAACTGCTGGAGAGAGAGAGAGAGAGAGAGTGAGAGAGAGAGAGAGAGATAAGGGGGGGGGGAGTGGGAGCATTTGTCACAAAGAGTGCATTTAAAAGCGTCTTTAGTTGATGGTGACGTTTTACTTTCAAGTTATATTATTGTGGACACTCATTATACCAATTTTTAAAGGGAAAAATCTCGCCAAAAATAACTATCAAGATCTTAGTGAAAGAGCAAAGAGTTTTGGGTACCGTTCATTGTACTAGCCTATATGGCTTAAAGCTAATTTTTGACATTTCACATTTTTAAATTAAAATTTAAATTTAAATTCAAAATATGTATTAAATTAAATATACAAATAAATAATTTAGTTGTTTCACTTGACTTACAGTTAAGGTTTAAGCAAGCGTATGTAACAGACCGCTTTTCTAAATATCTCACTGTGTTTAAAGATAGAATTTTTGCCACAAAATCCAACCAAATGCCAGCACACAGTTTCTAGTAATATAACCAAGAGAATAAGCAAAAGGAATCGTTCAATTTTACCCGAAAAATAATATTTTACGGATTTTTCTGCTAGCATTCTATGCTGTATATCAATGGGGTAGAAAAGTATATCACGAAAGTAGGTAAAATTTCAGACCAAAAATTTAAAGAAAGGAGCAGTTTAAAGCTCTTTTATGGCCATGGTCGAGTGATTTATCCCTTGGCATATCTAATTAATTTGAGTTGTATAAGAAACTAGTAGAAGCGTTTTATATATGTTACTGGGAATCCACGCTCCACCGATGCTTTAATACTTCCGGCGAAATGTTTCTATTTTGCCGTCAAAGACCGCGTGCGATGTCAACATTATACCAATGTCATCAAATATATCAGTAGTAAGAACATAGCGCGTGAGAGAACATTATCACTTATTTCCGTCATATATGGAAAAGATAATTAGAGAAAAAAGCGAACTGGTAACTGGGAGTACCTACTTTAAGGTCATATACAAGTGTTACAGGTGGCACCTAAACAGGCGATTTGGTGATGACCCCAAGGAGCAAAATACATGCATGCATCCCCATATCTGCTTAGTGCCTTGTAGTGATTGATTTTCATAGAAGGTTATTGAGACGCGTGTTTCAGTATTTCCTTATTTAGGATTATCAGTAAGACACACAACAGCTAGCATGGGCACAAACAAATTACAACGTTACGGAATGACAGTAAAATGTTAGTTTTCCAGACGATGGAGTTCAAAATAATCTCGTTTTTTATATATATATATATATGCTTTGCTTGATTGTAAAATATACCTCCAAAAAAGAAAAAAAGAGAAAGAGAAAAAACACCCACAGAAATGTTCTTACTTGCTGATTAAATTTACGAGACAAAAGATAAATGAACATCAGACACATATTTTATATGTGATAAAAATGTTTATTTAACAGTGAATAAGACTTGGTAACAGCTGATTTAATTTTGGTTTAACTGATAGACAATATGAGGCGCACCCTATAAATCTTCTTCGCTTTCAAACGGTTTCTTTTTTAGTGTCAAAGTCACAAAATCTTTATAGTCGTTTATTCTGACGATACAGAGCTTTACGATGTCTGTCTTGTTCAATCCTTGTCAAAGAGACGTGTTTTCGACAACATTAAGTGACAGTTTTGCCTCTCCTCTGAAAATAATACAGAAAAAACATTTTCAATTCACTGCATCGAAATATTAACCATTTGCTTTTGGCATTTTGTTAACTTACTTTAAAATCTGAAAATCATTTTTAAGCCGTATTTAATAAAAAGTTTAAAATATGTCATTTCTATATTTCCGTTTTAAAATATTTTTATGTAATGATTGAAATACGGTAAGGAAGGATATAAACAAAATAATCGGTAAATGAATGTAAGTTTCAAATCACGTTAGAGGACAAAAAAGGAGAAAACACATTTAAACTATGTGAAGACGAAAGTTACCTTTTAAAATAGACGGCTATATTAGCGTCTGCCATTGCCCTGGCCAAAGCCAAAGCCTGCTCCAGAGCCGTAGCCAGATCCACCGTTGGTGCCACTGCCACCACCGCCGCCACCACCGCCACCGCCGCCACCACCGCCGGCACCATTTCCGCTGCCGAAACCAAAGCCGCCTCCAGAGCCGTAGCCAGATCCACCGTTGGGGCCACCGCTTCCGCCACCTCCACCACCGCCGCCGCCGCCGCCGCCGCCGCTGGCACCGGTAGCACTATTGCCTTGGCCGAAACCAAAGCCTGCTCCAAAACCGTAACCAGATCCGCCGTTGGTGCCACCGCCACCGCCTCCACCGCCACCCCCGCCGCCAGCTTGGGCGAAGATTGGAGTGATCACCAAGCCAAGAATAAACAGGTTCTTTAACATCTTGGGTTAGTTCAGGAGGACAGTAAATATACTTCTTCTAAGCTTGCCTCTGGTCGGTTTGTGCCAGCTGACGAAAACTTCCATTTTTATAGCCTTGAGCACCAGTATGCTGCATGACCCGAGGCTTTTAACTTTGCATATATAATTTGAGGTCATCCTGAAAAAAATATGAAAATGAAATAAGAGAAAAAAATTTTTTTAAGATTAATTGTTTGCATTGTCGAGGTCTTAGACCGATCCTATCTCTTGTTGAGAGTAATTCCTGGTCATATTTCATGTCTAAGTGCATGTTCGTGGTGAGAGGATGATAAAAAATGATGAGATTGTTGATTTCTAGGTGAGCGTCAATACAGGCTTTGCCAAATCTTTCTCTACAAGCCATTGGTTTAAAAAAGATGTAGAAACATTGTATTTTAGTGCAACTGCTGGAGAGAGGAGAGGAGTGCGAGCATTTGTTGCAAAGAGTGTACTAAAAAGCATCTTTAGTTGATGGTGCCTATTTTACTTTCAAGTAATATTATTGTGGACACTTGTTATACCCATATATACTGTATATATAGGGGAAAATCTTGACAAAGAATCTTTATCAAGATTTTAATAAAAGAGCAAAGGGTTTTGGGTACCGTTCGTACTGCTTTACCCATATGATTTGAAGTTTATAACTGATAATTCAGACCTAATTCAACATATAGTTTAATTTACAAATAAATACTTTTAGTTGTTTCACTTGGCTTGCATTTAAGGTGTTACCGTATCAAGAGACTGCCTTCCAAAATATCTATCTATTAATATCTTTTAAACTGGGCAATACGGGACCGATCTAAAATGAATTAATAAAAATTGATCAGTGTAGATTTCATTATGAAATTACCGCGGTTTGGAGTGACCCAAATGTTTATTTATTATCTCATTTATAATAAATAATAATTTTTGGTGTGACTGGTATAAAGGCAATTTAAATGGAATGTAAAAAAAAAAATAACCAAATGAAAATCAAATTGCAGTTTTTATGCTTTGGATGGAAGTTTCCTTTTTTGCCGTCAAAGTCCGCGTGCGATGTCAACATTACCAATGCCATCAAATATATTGGTTGTAAAAACTTGTTTTGCAAACCCAGCGCTTCCATTGGCCAATTGTTGAAGATACCGGTAGCGCGTGAGATAACATTATCCCTTATTTCCGTCATATATGGTAAAGGAAATTGGAGAAAAAGGCTTGTAACTGGCAATACCTAGTTTAAGGTCATATACAAGTGTTTCACGTGGCACCTGAATAGATGACTTGTTGATGACCCCAAGGAGCAAAATGCACGCATGCATGCCCATGTCCGCTTATAGCGCCTTGTAGTGATTGATTTTCATAGGATGTTATGGAGACGCGTATTTCAGTATTTCCTTATTCAGAATTATCAACATGACAGCCACCCACACGGGCAGACACAACGGTATGGCATTAATGTTAGTTTTCGAGACGAAGGGGTTCTAACATGTACTCGTTTTTATGTTGTTTCTTTTACTACTAGATTTAATAGTATTTTTATATACCAAACGTGTATACATAATACACCTAAGTAACAGGATTTTTGCATAAATATTGACGTGAAGAGTTATAAATCCGAAAAGAAAAGTCCATTTGGTAACTTTTCTGTGGACGGTAGGAGAATGAGCAAGCTTTCAATTTTCGCGACTATTCCATTTGGCCAACAACCATGATGTTAGTAGCCTAATAAAATTGTTGAAAGATATCTTTCTCTCTTCGTGAAACTTAACGACAGTGTTCATGTTTATAGTCTTAGAATTAATTTTTATCTTTGCCAGCGTTGTTTTGCATATTGTGTATCACCACTACATGTATAAGGATTATTACATAATTAGCAAGCTGGTGATGATATTAAGAAAATGGTTTTATTCTCATGGACTTCATCATAGTATACAAGAAGGTATTGCTTTCAATTTCTAAAAGCAAATTTCGTCGAAAATCAGGCATAGTTGAGACCAAATGGGTGGGTGTGCCTAGGGTATTATCGTTATTGGGTTTTTGAAAACACAATGCATATTTATCGTCACCAAATTACGAAAAAAATGATTTACCCTATTAAACTAAATTGAATTCTTATAGCGAAATTGTCAGTGAATTGTGTGCGTGTGCCTACTTTATAATTAGCCTCACCTTAGCAATACACTGTGATATGTATGAGAGAGAGAGAGAGAGAGAGAGAGAGAGAGGGTAGAGAGAAAGAGAGAGAGAGAGAGAGTGATAAACGTTGTCAAATAGACGTCTTCTTGACTTATAACGGCGCGCCTATAAGCCGTTGCCTTTTAACGCATACTAAAACGTGTCGTCGGAAATCAGTAACAACCATAGCGTGCTATCACGTTCTATGAAGTTTATGTTAAGGATACGAGTCTGTCTCTCACAGAAATAAAAAAAAAATACATTTTATTTTGTGTGTTTAACTACTGCTTCCACCACAAAATAAGGAAAAGGGGATAAGTTAAATAAGAAAAAAAATCATCAATGTACACGTTAGGAATCAGAACACGTCACTTAAAACGATTTAAAGATGTATCTTCATATTTCAACTGTGGCACTACATACATTGTTTTATATATAACCCTTTGACATGTGCATAGCAAGGCGTAATTTAAAAGCCAGATGTAGAGTTTTAAAAAATGCTAATTCGTCCTTTTTTGTGGAGCTATAATGCACATTTAACATGAACAAGCTGTAAGTGCTCAATGATGGCATGTCACGGAAGACCTTTTTTTTTCAAAGTACTACAGATTTTCTTCCTAAAATATAGTAACAGAAACAATTCCAGGCCAGAGTTTTTCCTGTAAAATATTTTATGTAAGTTTTCCTTTTCCTCTACCATATTTTTTCCGCAATGAATCGCTCCATTACACATTAAGTATTATCATGGTACTTTAACTAAATAACATTATGATACGACAATTCTATTGATTACGCTACCTATTGCTAGGGTAAATCGTTCTAAAATCAATTGTGAGCTACAAAATGGTCAATGTTTTCCTATTCAGAGGGATAAGAAATTCTGCAAACAGTCTGAACATAGAAAAAATAATCAGATAATTTTGCCCATGGTCTGGATCAGGACAAAAATTATCTGTCAGGCACATGTGGATCTATTGTTGAGACTTAGTGAAGTGACTTAGTGAAGCGCAGTATATATATTTTCATATATTCCTTAAGAACCAGACCTTACTTCCTTACTTTTGGGAAATTTCGGGAGTACTGGGCAAACATTTGTCCTTAGACCATAGGGAGACACAGGTGGACTAATTATTAAATATTTTATATTAAGACACCTTACCGATAAATATCATGTTCAGTATTAAAATTAAACTAAATTGAGAAGCTAGAATCTACTTATTTGGCACCAAAAATTTACAATTGGAAAAGACAACCTAGAGGTTTGGTTAAATACATTACGTATTCTGTTTTTTTGCATATGTGTTTATACAAGAGAGCCATGCATACAGCAGATTCAACGATACTGAAATTCGTGATCTAATTTGGCCCGTATGGCTTGTAGCCATTTCTCCAAATTTGATGCACTACACTCATGCTCGCGTCCTCTAATTTGTACCATACTGTTATTTAAAACCATTACATCAACAAGAGGCTCCTGCAGGTGGAAGCCTCACTTCAACGAGCCTATTTTCAACTTCACCCTCTCTCTTTTCACGTACCATTGCTCTCTGTCTGCTTTTTTATTTCGGTCTGCAATACGAGGTGCATGCCCGAACGCCTGTCATTTTAGAGGGGGTCTTTTTCTGAAAAATTGTACCTTTTACCATGAAACTTACGCGTACTTACATGTAGATCAAATTGTACCCAGTCGTAAGAGTGGACCTTTTCCGGCAAAAAGGGCGGCGTGTTCGAACTTCTCCCCCCCCCCCCCCCCCCCCCCGGCTACTGGCCTGAGGCGTACATGTAACACCTACACCGGTTTTCTGTCTTAGACCCCATTCCCATTGATTTTAGATCGATCTATCCCTGTGGAGAGTCTCACTAGATTACTGTCAGCTTGGCGGCTTAAGCGTCTGTCCCGCCTACTAAAAGCTGTAAGGGGGTAATTAACTATGGTGCGCTGACTTCAATTTAGCGTGAACTCCCAGGGAGTTAGGTCGATCTAAATCTAATTCTCTGGATCGATCTAAATCTCTGGGAATGCACCCTTACATTCAGTCATTTGTTTACTGACTTTCTCATTATGGAGATGTCTACACAGCGTGCACTGGCCTAAATATTTAACTATCTATACGTGGTATAAGTCTTTCTATACACAACGTAATTTATGTATCTTGTGAATTGTAGTAATGACCGATGCTAAAAACGCACGTCCACAGGGGACATGCCCTGTAACGTGTACTGTGATATGGGACTTTTAACTATACGGCTTGAGCCAACCACACCAGTAAACAGCTATAAGTTATTCTCCTTATAAGGTCGGTTAAACTGAAGATAAGCCTCCGTATGTTGAATAGAAAACAATTAAAAAAAAGAGATTCAAAATTTGCGCACTCTTATGTAATGAATAAGAAAATTCAAGGTAGGTAATAGTCCAGTTTCAGAAAAGGGACAAGCCCCTTGTACATTGACTACATATAATCGTAGAAGCACTTTACTGATCCATGTTTTTCATATGCAGGGTTCCTTCTACTAGTAAAAGGAGGAAATAAACATCGTATGAGGATCTGGTATTGTTACAATTTGCCTTAGTTAATTGCGATAGTTGTACCGATGGCGTTTTAGTTGGCACAATTAATGCAATGAAACGACAGATATTATAAGTTGCTAAATACGTTAGTTGATAGACCCTCTCTGAGAAATGATGTATTCGGCTTTATCGGGCAGTCCCTTAAATTTAGTGCTCATAAAAATTGAAACGTCTTATTGCACCACTGCTTCACAAGTCAAAATGAATGCACAAGAGCGCAATGTGCTGGTTGCGACGTCTCATCTAAAGCAATTATCGCTTTGGGCCACTAACACGTTGTTGAACACGAACCACTTGCGAGTCCTAGTCATGGGGTTGGTGTACTGGGCAGGGGTAAAGCTAGACAAGAGGTGGGCAATAGTGGAAGGAGCT